AACTATAAGACGTAAATTTCCCAGATAATCTGCATGGCTATCACATCTGCCAAATAGTACTCCCTGAACATTAGAATGGTGAGCTCCATGAGTTTATATTATGCAATCTAAAGCTAAATGACAGAGCTGCCTAGAGTTCAGTACTTTAACAGAGGACTCAGCATAGAGCCCTCCCGATTACAATTTTTCCCCTATTGTAATCACAATGTGCATTCTACAATTTCTTGATCATGGGAGCTGGATGGAAAGAAAAGCAATGATGTATACAAACAGCACGGAGATAGAATAAATCAAGTCAGTTTCAATGTAATCTCTAGTCAACAAGCACTCTATGTGAACAACATTGACAGGAAATTAAAAAGAGTACATCAAGGTTTGTCTGCTAGGATCGGCATAGGTAACAAGTTACTTGGAATACAACAAAATTAATATTTTTTTCACGGAAATTATCCAGTAACACCTTTCATGTATTTATCTCATGTTCCATCTTATGGTAAAATGTGGTTTCCCTCCTACCAGAAAACAGATGCAAACCATAAAACAGACATATCACATATCTTTATTCATCAGTTGCCATCTCCCTTATTCACTAAACATGTACAAATTGAACATAAGTATGCTTACATTTCTCGTGTTCCAAAGAATTGGACAAATATTTTCCTAGAGTCAGGTTCTCGCTCCAATCTTCAGGCCGGCTATCTGAAATTCATAACCCATAGAATCTACCTCAAAAACCAACCGTAAACCAAAATCGCAAAAAACCAACTGAGTTCTAAGTAACAAAATAATAAAAACTAAAAAATAAATTGAAAATCTCTAGCTAAATTTCTGACGACACTTTCTAGGATCAAATCAATCTAGCATGCAATAAAAAAATACACATATTTGTCCCTTTTTTTTCAGACCCAAAATAAAGAACTTGCATAGTTGCATTAAGTAACCCAATTGATAAACAGGCAAAGTACCAAACCTGAAACACTAAAAGCACAATCAGCTAACATACGCATGGCAAAACTTTTAACTCCAAAAATAGGCCTTTCACAAAATAAAACAAAATTTACTAAAGGAAACAAATTGAGTACGAAACCAACAAATAAAATACAAAGCAAGACAATGTAAGCATAAAATAAACTTACCTACATCATGCAAAACTTAAAAAAAAAAAAAAATCCCAAACTCATCATGGATTTATTCAAATTCATAAGTTCAAATAAACATATAAGAAATTAAAAATATAATCATCAAAATATAAAATACCCATAATTCAGGATAAAAAAAGTAGCAATAATAATCAAATAAAAGGGAAGAGACCTTGGCAGGCCAAGCAGGGAAACCCTTGACTTTGGCAAGAACAAGATCTCCTAAACTTAAATTCTTAACTTTTGCTTTGTTTCCTCCCCTTTTACGAGTCCCAGCTATTGCCCTTTGGGGTTCCGGCAATGGAAGGCGGCTAAGGCATCGGGAGAGACAGAGAGAGATATTAGAAAAATAAGTGAAGAAAGGCCTTTTTTTTTTTTTCAAAGTGGAGAAGAAAAAAATGAGAATATCGAGACGGTTGAGGAGACGAGTGACAGAGAAGAGATTTATTTTTTCGGGGGTAAAATTTTGGTTCAGGGATGCTTTTGTTTGGCGCACGTGACTGAGCCGTTAGAAGAGGTTGGAGGCGGAGGGGAGAAGTTTTGTATTTTGGTGTTGTGGGTGTTTTTGATGTTAGACTAGCATGCGATCGCCGTTATATTGAGGATTAAATATTTTTTATTTTTAAATATAAAATTATTTAATTTTTTTATTTTAATAAAATTATAATTATTTAGTTTATTTGATCATTTAATTTTAATTATTTTTAATAAAATGATACATATTAAATTTTATAAAGTAATGATAAGAGTATTTTAATAATTTAATGTAGTTAATTTTATAATATATTAAATTTAATACGTAATTTAATATGGATATTAGAATAATTTTAAAACAAAATGTCATATATCAACTTCTTATAAAGCACTCATAAAGATATTTACGTAATTATGATATAAGAAGTATTATAGTAATTTTGAAAAAAGATATTTTCATAAGTATGGTATGAGGGGTACTATAATAATTTTGATCAAATATAGTAAAAAAGTTTTTTTTTAATTTTATTAATTTTGGTTAATTATAGTAGGAAAGATATATCTATAATTATGGTAGGAAGGTATATAATATTTTTGGCTAATTATGAAAAGAGTCATATTTTCCTAATTATAACTGGAAGGCATTATAGTAAAATTGGATACATGTTAAAATCATATCAAATATATGAAAAGGTGTTATAGTAATTTCAATGGGAATTATTTCAGTATATATTATTTAACATTTAATAAGTAATTTAATTAGACTATTATAGTGAATTTCAAACAAAATTTCACATGTCAAATTTTTATGAAGTAACGACAACGATATTTTGATAATTTAGTATGTAGTTAATTTTATATGATGTTAAAATTTCATATGTAATTTAATAGTAGTATTATAGTAATTTTTAAATAAAATATCACATGTCAAATTTTCATAAACCAATTGTAATGATATTTTAATAATTTAATATGTGGTTAATTTTATATTATATTAAAAATTAATATATAATTTAATAAAAATATTATAGTAATTTTGAAACAAAATGTTACATGTTAATTTCTTATGAAGTACTCATAAAAGCATTTCAATATAAGATGCATTATAGTAATATGGTAGAGGTATTTTTGTAATTTTTATAGGATAGATTTTTCTGTAATTTTAGTCAATTATACTATGAGGGGTATTTTGTAATTATTGAAGAGGGTATTATAATAATTTTAATTAATTATAAGAAGATAAGTATTTTGTAATTATGGTAAAAAAATATTGTAGTAAATTTAAACACATATCGATATCATATCAAATAAACAAAGAGTTATCATAGTAACTATCAAAGAATTGTTTTAATATATGTTATTAATTTTGAAACAAAGTATCACATGTCAACTTTTTATTAAGTACTCATAAAAGCATTTTCATATGAGATGCATTATAGTAAATTTTTGCCAATTATGGTAAGGGTATTTTTATAATTTTTGTAGGAAAGATATTTTTGTAATTTAGTCAATTATACTTTGAGGGATATTTTGTAATTATTGTAAGAAGGTATTATAATAATTTAATTAATTATAAAAAAATAAGTATTTTGTAATTATGATAAAAAGTATTATAGTAAATTTGAACACACATCGATATCAAATAAACAAAAGGCTATTATAGTAACTATCAAAGGATTGTTTTAATATATGTTATTAATTTTGAAACAAAAGTATCACATGTCAACTTCTTATTAAGTATTCATAAAATCATTTTCGTAATTATGGTAGGAAAAGTATTATAGTAAATTTGATCAATTATGAAAAAGGTTTTCTATAATTATGTTAGGATGGTATTATAGTAATTTGGATCAATAATAAGAGTTTTGTAATTTAATAATAAAATGAGTATTTTTGTAATTATGGTACGAAGGTATTATAGTAAATAATTATAAGAGAATAGTTATTTTCTTAATTATGGTATAAAGACATAATAATCAATTTAAGAGAAAAATATTTTTGTAATTATGATATGGGGTATTATAGTAAATAATTATAAAAAAAGTATTTTTATAACTATAGTATGAGGGTAAAATAGTTAATTTAGTCATGTGTCAAATTCTTATTAAATCAAGAGAGGGGTAGTTTGATAATTTTTAGGGGTTTATTTTCAATCTATAAATAGATTTTTAAGTTAAATATTAAAAACTAAGTATTTGAAATTTTTAAAATTTTAATAATTTAAATTAAAAATTTATTAATTTATTTGATATCTACTTTTAATCTTGTAAGTTTTAAATAATGACACGTGATTGATAAATAGTACTTCATATTAATTAATAAAATTATAATTCAAATATTATATTAAAAATTTTTTAAATTCAAATCACATACAACATTTTAATCTTCCTCTTCAACTACTAAATTATTTTCATTGAAAATTAAAATTAGACTTTTGCAAAAATACACTTCAAAATTATCAAATCAATATGAAAGAATATATTTTTAAAATTATCTAAAAATAAATCGAAGTTAAAATTTGAAAATATTTTAATTATCTTAAAAGAATAAAGTAAAGTAGGTTTAAATTATATTCTTTGTCAATAAATAAATAAATTATGTATTTTCACTAAATTTAATGGAAAAGTTTTATATTTAACAAATTTTAAGTTAAAAATGAAAAAGTAGTACGATAAATAAAATTAACCATGCAAAGCATGAATTTAGAAATTTTAGTTTTTTTTCTTTTTAATTTTTATAATAATAATAATAATCAAGTATTACATTCATATAATCAATTGAATAATCAATTATTACATCATCATCAAGGTACAATCATAAAATAATTAATTAACAAACTATACTAAGCCATGGTCTCATTGGCTAACACCTTATGTTTATTGTTGCTTTGGAAGATTATGCATTTAATTTATTTATTTGATGAGATTTGCATGTGTATGAAATATATAAATCTTTTTTTTTATTTTGGAATAATTTGTAATCCTATAAAAGAAAATAATTGCATTTTGCAATCAAAATGATATTTTCAACGATCAATGCTTATGTGGCTCATTTTATAAAGTAATATTAATTTCCAAATGACAACAAATATTAAGTAATTTTAAATAAAAATAAAACCTCTATAAAAGGGCAAGAAATAAGAAATTGATAAATAAAAGAAAAATCACATTCTTAACTATTTCATATTACTGCAATATGATGGAAACTCTTTTAAAGATTCTGATATATTCTTAATTATTGACTTATTGTGATGTATTTCATTTAAAATTCAAATTCTTACTAATACTACTTGAATAATAGCTTGGAAAAGATATTAGCAATAAATTGGAGAAGATGGAGAATAGAGAATTGAATATTTGTATACAAACATAAAATCAACAAGTTCCTTCAAAACAAAACGAATACCAAAAACAGAGTTCCGACAGAGACAAAAAGCTCTGTTGAAAGTGCAAAATCATCAAAGGACTCTTTCTCAACAATATGAGTACCAATCCACAACTCATCCTACAACCATCTTAGAAGAATAAGTGTGCTAAAAGAAATCCCTCATTTAAAAGAATCAATCACCAAACTTCTTTTTGATAACAAAATCGACTTCATCCAAATCTTTCACCACATTCAACAAAAGGCAAATCATAAGAGGCTCCCATGACACCTAAGCACATCTTTTAAAGATGTATAACTCAAGAAAATTGCCCACAACTGAGTAGCGACAAGTAGTGATGCAACTCTCGATGAAAGAAAACCATGCTTGTCGCCAATATGGATTTATGTATAGAACAACAAAAATTCCCAATAAAAAAATTACATATGAAACCATAAAGCTCACACAAAAAACATATGTATCCATGAAACTACCTTCTCCTTCATTGTCTGCTGTAGTTGGTACTGTTGGTGGTGACTCAATTTTAGAGCAGTTATTTTGCAGTGGAGGCCCACAAAGAAGAGGATTTCCCTCGTAACTGCTTTCATCAAAGGTCCCAAACTGAGCTTTTGGTTTTGGAGTACTACCTGACAAGTTGTTGTGTGCCACACTGAAAACCTCTAGAAAGTTCAGCTCAACCAACTGTATAGGGATTCTACCACTCAAGTTGTTGTAAGAAAGGTCCAAACTCTCAATTTGCTTAAGTTGTGAAAATGATGAAGGTATAACTCCGACCAAGTTATTGTGTGATAAGTTTAACGAACGGATTTCACTCAAGTTTCCCAGTTCGAATGGGATTTGCCCAGTTAACCTGTTACAAGATAAATCAATCCCAGACATGTACTCAAGAATGTCACCACCGTATGAATAGGACACACTCTTTGTTGTAAACTCTATCCATTCTTCCATGTAGCTATTAGGATAATGATATAAATAAAATGAATTGTATATTGAATTTGGTGTATACAAAGAAACATCTACGAAAGACTTCACCTCATTCATTGCCAGAGTTAAATTACCCAAACAAGAAGGTATTGGACCAGAAAACATATTTCCAGAAAGATCTATGATGCTCAATAAATCCAACTTGCATAATTGAACTGGAATTCTACCGTCTAGATGATTATCTTTCAAAAGAAGGACACTTAAAGCAGAAAGTGTGCCAACCCATTTTGAAATATTACCAGTCAAATCATTCCCTCTAAGATCTAATGTCACTAATGAAGAGCTATTAAAAGCAAGTGTCAATGGACCACTTAGTTTGTTTCTCTTCACGTGGAAATGTGTCAAATATGGTGAATTGAAACAAGATGGAATAGAGCCAGATAAATTGTTTTGAGAAAGCTCCAAAAATTCAAGCTCATACAAGTCGCACAATTCCATTGGAATAGAACCTTCGAAATGGTTGTTGGACAATGCCAATCCCTTCAAATGCGATAAATTCCCTATCCATCTTGGGAGCTTTCCATTAAAACTGTTATTACTGAGATCAATATTCTCTAGTGATGAATGTGAAAAATCAATAGCAGAGACATCAATATCAGGAATCTCTCCAGCAAAATTATTGCCATCCAAATACAAATTTGACAACTTGCTTGTGTTGAACATCATAGGAACAATTTTTCCACTTAGGTTGTTATTCGATAGCCTAAGAATATCTAATGAGCTTCTCTTGATCAACTCTTCTGGTACTCTTCCAGACAAATGATTGCCCGATAAGTCTAAAATTGATAACGTGTTCATGCCACTTAAACAAGGAGGGATATTACCTTCAAAGGCATTCTTAGATAAGAATAACAATTCCAAATTTGGAAAAGTTGAACATATGTTTGTCGAAATTTGACCTTGTAATTTATTTTCAGATATGTCAATTAAAGACACATTAGGATGAAAAAGATGTGGTAACAAGAGAGAACCAATGAAAGAATTACCCAACAAGATGAGATTTTCTAATTTTGTGTTGTTTTCTAGCAACCATAACGGGACTGTTCCACTGAAATTGTTATGGGAAAGATCAACATATCTCAAGTCATATTGGTAATAAAGGAACTTAGGAGGTTGTAGACTAGGTCCTTTATCTGTTGTACACTTTGACAAGCTAATGAAATTTAGTTGGAACTTCGGAGTTGAAGTATGAAAGGAATTTGGTTCCATTACCATATTATTTTCATCAGCCCAAAGACACTTGAGATTTGGAAGGTTTGCAAGTGACAAGAATGGCATTGAAATTTGCAAACAATTTTTGAAAAGGAAGACAAATCTAAGTGATGAAAGATTTGCTAAAGGAGTCAAATTTCCAGTAAATTGATTGTTGGAGATATCTAACTCAAGAAGAGATGTCAAGTTACCCAAACAATAAGGAAGTATCCCCTCAAGTGCATTCCCACTGATATCCAAACTCTTAAGGTTCCTTAGATCACACCAACCTGAAAATTTTATAAATTCATGAAAGAAATTTTAATTAAATTTTGATTTCCAAAACAGAATATATATAAAAGATATTAGATGAAAGAAAAAGAATAAAGGATTATTGGAAAGAGGTGTATTCCATGAGTTATATTGGAGAATAATAGTCTTTAATTTACCTTGAATAGGCAAGGAACCAATAAGTCGACAGTTACTTAAAAGACAAAGTTTTAAAGAGAAGTGAATACTCCATGCCTTTGCAAAATGTCTGTTGTTGACAGGATAAGAACAGTTCCTAGAAATATTTCCTCCACATTGCTCCACACATGCAATTCTGAGTAATCAATAGCACTAGGAGGTATTATTAGATTGTTAATGCTAACAAACAACTACTAATTTACGTTCTTTTGGATAAATTCATGACTTGACCTTGATCTTGGAGTAGACCATAGTCCTTGTTTAAGTAATTCCCTTGCTAGATTAGAAGGTCTTAAACTGATGGGAATGCATATACTAATTGTTGGTAGTCGTGGAATGCTTCCATTGGCTGAAAACCGCCATCTAGTAAAGAACTTTTAACTTTGTTTCACAACTCTTATACTCTGTAAATGAAAAAAATAAATAAGTGAAAATTTTCATTTTTGTAGATAAGATTATATATTCAAGATTAATGCAAGATGAATTTTTAATAGAGAAGAATATTGAATCGTTAAATATTTTTAATATAAATTTTAATATACGAAACAATCAAAAAGATGAAAATCAAACAAAACGGTAAAAAGAATATGTAATAATCTAAAACAGAATGACAAAAGGCAAACAAGTCCAACTCTGAGACACAACAAGGTAATACAAACAAAAAGGCAAATATTTGATATTCAGCTGCAACACTTCTTAAAGAAAGCAATTATCTAATGCAAGTATCCATCATTTTCTAGTTAGTAATAAAATTATAATGAATTTCTTCCTTTAAAAAATTGGGCATTAATTTTAATGATAGCATTTCACTTACAATCATTGTAGTACGATTAAGTAATCATAATTTAAAATTGCATGAGGTCCAACAAAATTTTATATGAAGATCACACTTATAAGTAGTGGACTATTACGTAATTCTTTATTATAATTAGAGAATTGATATTGTGTAAAAACATAATAAAAATAATTTTCCTTTGAATGAGCATTAAATTTTAATAGCTAATTTATGGTCATTAAACATCTACATCATTATAAACTCATAATAAAAGTAAAAATGTTATTTAAAAACATACTTGTAAGGCCACAAATCACATTCAAATCTTATAACTCATATCCAGTTTCTCTAAGTCTTGTAAAGCATCCTAAGTCTGGAAGCAAGTTAAATGATAAACTGTCATTAAATCATCTAAATATATGAAATGTAATTTTTTTACAAGTATTTCAATAGATGTTAAAATTTGGTAGTAATAATTATTAGATTATGACTTAAAATCAAGCTTTTAGAATTGCTCAATTTTAATTGTTCCAATGCTATGGAATATTTACATAATTTCAATCATTAAAGAAAGAAAAGATGAACTTATCTTGTTATATCATCTTGAAACATTGAATTAAGATTTTTGTTAACAAATTCAAAATTTTTGCAAAAAAAATAATTTTACCTTTCATATCTATTGATCCATTTAACTGATTGGAGCTTACATTCAAAGATTTCAAATTTGAAAGCCCGCTAAGTGATGCAAATATGTTGTCATTAATGAGATTATCACTCAAATCAAATTCTTCTAAATGGGTCAAGTTCAGCTGTCTCCCACTATCTACATAAGGTTTACATAATTTCATCACTAAAAAAAGATTTACATAATATTTAATTATATATAACAACTTAACTAATTGAGCAAATATAAATGCATAGCTTGTAAGGAATGAAGGCTTTCAATTTTGTTGGAGTATAAATACAACTTCTTCAAATTCATCAAATTATTCAATTCTATGTCCATGTTCAATTCAAATAATCATTATGTTAGCCTGGTTACTCAAATAATCTTTTACTGAATATTTTTAATGACTTTATAATGAAGTAAACGGCAAAACAAATCTAAGCCTTTAAGTGAAGAGGAAAAATCCCCAAATGTGATATGAGATTTTACCTATTTGATGAGAAAAAAGGTTCTAAAACAGAATTAAAAAAAAAAAAAACTGTAATACCTTTACCTTGAATATCTATTGAGCCTTGCAATTGGTTGTACCCCATATACAGGGACTTTAGACTCGGAAGGCCAGAAAGGAATGCAAAAGTGTCGTTCCTGAATAGATTATTACTTAAATCAAGAACCTCCAAATTGGTCATACTTAGTTGTATCTCCTTTCCTGTAGAAGAATATTTCTATTATATGCCATTGTTAAAGGAAAATTTTATACATTGATCACATAATTAAAAACTTAGTTGAGTGAATTGAAATATATAGTTATACCTTGTTTTGATGGTCGGAAGCTTTTAATTTTATTGTGGCTTAGATCCAAGTTCTTCAAATTTGTTAGATTATTCAATCCTATTCAATGCCATAAGTAATTAATATTACATATAAAAGCAAATGACACGCAACACCTTTTCCTGAAACAATAATTGATTTGAACGTAAAAGAAAGATAAATGATTCCTTCCAAGTAATTTCTCATCAAACTTAAAGTCCTTAAAGATAAAAGACCATTGATATGAAACAATATGTTATTTTTCAAAAAGTTGTATTCTAAATCAAGAGTTTCCAAATCATTGAGTCTTGAAAGCCATTGTACCATATTACTTTTAATCTTATAAGTTTAAATAATAATATACAATTAACAAATAATGTACCATATTAGATAATAAAATTATAATTCAAATATCATATTAAAAATTTTTAAAATTCAAATATTACATAAAACATTGTAATCCTCCTCTCTTACTGTCAGATTATTTTCATTAAAAATTAAAATAAAACTTTTGTAGAAAACACTTCACAATTATCAAATCTATGTGAAAAAATATATTTTTAAAATGATCTAAATCAATTAACCATGAAAAATTTTGAAAATATTTTTAATTATCTTAAAAGAATAAAATATGTTTAAATTATATTCTTTTTCAATAAATAAATAAACAAATTTATGTATTTTCACTAAATTTAATGGTGAGAGTTTTACATTTAACAAGTTTTAAGTTAAAAAAGAAAAAGTAGTACTATAAGTTTTTTTTCCAATGGCACCGTTATGAAAAATAAAAACAATTCATGCATCCATTAAGTATGGTTTTTACTTATAAAAGAAGTATTCCTAAAATCCCTCCTATTAATTTTATCCATTATTATTTGAGAATCATTGATCATCATCTTAATTCTTAACTTTTAATTCTTAACTTTCTTTTGGTGATTTTTTGTATTTAGCCAAAATTATATTCATTTAAACTTATTTTCTTTTTTTTTTATAAACATATAACCTCATTTTTCTAGCATACACTTCAAAAAATCAAGAATAGCAATTGATCATTTGGCTTAAAAGAGTTTGAATTCTTTTCTCAAAAATAAAATAAAATAAAAATCAAGAGTAAAAACAGTTTTTGTTTTTTCCATTTTCCATTATGTCTTCTTCATATATCATTCCATCCCCTTTTTTTTTTCTATTTTCCTCACCAAGCCAAACATTGAAATTAAGAACTTAAGAATCCTCACACTAAAAAATGATTTTACAATATTCTATCTTAATAAACAAGGATATTTTATGTGAAAGTTATTTGTATTTGTGTAATTTCATTAGCCATAATACTAGACAAGCAAATAAATAAAGCCTTTTAAAGAAAAATTTTTGCATATATATACTATATTGAAAACATGTATCCTATAAATAAGACACAGCTACAAGGTTTTCATTTTTGACAAGAGTGTTTTGATATCTATGTGTGTATCTATGTGTGTGTGTGTGTGTGTGTGTGAAAATTTAAGTTATAAATTTTTGTATTTTGACAAGAATAAATAATTCTTTTTTTATAATTTTCTAAGGTTGATTGTTAATAGAATTAAATTATTAAAAGCACTAAATATTTATTAAGAGTTCTTAATTTTTCAAGATTGTAAATGTGATTGAACTACTACTTTATATACTAACTTCTACCAATTTTCTTAATTAATATTCCATAATTATGAAATTTAAGTGAGCAATTTTGGTATTTTGATAAAAATAGATATATTTTTTTAATTTTCCAAAATTGTCAATGGAATTGAATTATTAAAAACTCGTAATATTATTAAGAGCTTTTAATTTTTTAAGATTGTTAGTGGGATCAAACTATCACATTATATATCAACTTCTATCAAAGTTCCTTAATATTCAATAATTATCAAATCTAAATTAGTAATTTTGATATTTTGACTAAAGTAGAAATATATATATATATTTTTTTTAATTTTTCAAGGTTGTTAATGGGATAGTATTATTAAAAATTTTAAAGCTGTTAATATTTTCTAAGAGATTTTAGTTTTTTAAGATTGTTAGTGTGATTGGAACATTGCATCATACACTAACTTCCATAAAAAAAAATAGTTTTTTGCAAAATATTATATAAATCTCGACAATGATAGATTCAAGATTTTTTAGGTGTTTACTTATAATTATATAAAAAATTTGACGAATTTATTAATTTTATCAATAAAATAATGTCAAAGTAAAAATTTTACTACAAATTCTTTTATTTTTTTTAATTTTTGAAAGTTTCTGAAAAAATTGTGCTTGAATAAGTGCATCGGCCCTGAGTTTCGAAGGGAAGTTTGAGAACTACTATTATAAGAAGCTCAAAAAAAAAAAAGTTAAGAAAACAACGTTTATATGCTAGCATCCTACCATAAAAAAAAAAAACAAAATAACAAAATAAATAAATCTATTATCAATTTCATATACATTTAAAAAAATTTGAAAGATTTTGCTTCGAGAATATCAATAAAAAACTTTATGTTTTCATGTGTGATCACGATTGTATCTATAGTACTAAAGATCGTAACATGTGGCTCCGTGATCTCGATCATATGACATAAAAATTTTTAAAAATTGAAAAAAAATGGTCACTATCAATATTTTTTTTGTTAAGTATGATTGAACACTTAAGGTTTTTTTTAATAAAACAAAAAAAAATTTATGATTTATTAAATAGATAATTTTGGTTTTTAAAAACAGAGTTAAGTTTGAGAGTATTATTGCATATGAAGTAAAATTAACATCCCTAAAGCACTTATTTTAAAAAAAAAAATACTAATTAAACATGCGTTATCTTTGATATTGGGCAAAAAATGTTTCAATTTGAAATTTAATAATATTTCCATTAACTTTTATGAAAAAGAAAGTTAATTTTATTAAAAATCTTTATTTAAAAATATTGTGCAAATTTTTAGGTTAAAAAATTAGCTAAAAATTTTCTAACATCTAGACAAAATTTAAAGATAATTTTTTATGCTTAAGATTCATTACTATATTCTTAAAAATGAAAATAACATTCTTTGTAGATGATAACTGTTAGTGACTCCAATATTTAAGCAAGGTATCAAAAATTATTTCCCTTGAAATATTATATTGTTTCATTTCAAAATCCATTTTTTAAATAGCAATTTCCATGAAAAAAATTTTTATGCAAAAAGAATGATGTTATAATCAACCGAGAAACAATAATAACAATTAATAGACATGAGCATGTGAATTAAATACAAACAATAATCTCAAAATAAACTTATGCAAATGAACGTCATGCTAGATGATGAAATGCAAATTTGAAATCAAGTCCTTAAATATAAAGAGATCACCCAAATTTCTTAACTTTTAGACAAAGTTTAAATGGGATTATTTATACTTAAAATTTCATTTTTATTTCTTTCCCTTTTATTTAATCTTATTATTATTTGGTTAAAGAATCATATGAAAAGTTTAATAAAATAAAAGTTTATTAGCATCTTTTTTCTACACTGGAGAATAAATTTCCGCTATTTTGGTAGCTGAAAATGACAATGAAAGAAAAATTTGTAAACTTAAGCAAGAAGATTACATGTGACCAAACAAAGACAATAACAATACTCTCTATTCTTGCAACAACAGGAGCACAAATTTTCAACTTCAGATTATACTAAATGGTAGTTTACCAGCAAAATCAACAAAAAGATGAACAAATTCCAAAACAAAAAATTTCACTTTCACTTAATAACAAGGACAAAGCTTTCTATTCATAATAATAAAAAAAGATGAAATATTCAGGCTGAGATTCATTAACAAATAAGTACGAAAATATACTAAGTACCTAATGAGACTATTTCTTCATTCTCAAGCTGGCCTCCAACAATTGATAGCACACATGTCTGGTTGACATGGCAACATTTGTGAAATACCATGACCTGAAAGATACAATCATGAAGTCATTCTCCAGTTTAATTGGTGCTTGATTATTTAACTAGCAAAAGAAGAAAATTAAAAGCAAACCAAGACAGCAATTAAAAATTGCAGTACCCAAATTTGGAGCTCCAGCTGGTAAATGATTGGCAGAAGCAATCAGAAAACCCATCTCATTTGAGGGTGGTCTTTCAACAGGTGTTCTAAAGTAACCTGCCAAAGAATTAACATAAGTGTCATCAAAAGGTAGAGACTATCTATAGAGGGCCCATAGATTCATCTTATCAACACTTTAAGGATATACACAAGAAAGAGGAGGCTACGCACATAAAATATGCATGAAGAAGTACAAACAACAGAACATTTCACATACTTATTCATGGACTTAAATCTGTGAGTTCTTAAAAGAGATTCCATACCAGCAAAGACTCATAAAAAAAAGTAAGAAATTAGGCACGACATCAGTTCAAAGCAAGATAATAAGGGGATACTAAAAGAGTGTCCTACAAATAGCAATGAAAATTTTCAGATACTGCACAAGGCATGCTTTTCATATTTATATGGTCCGCATGTTCTATATTTTTTGGATTTTTCTCTTTTAGTTTGGTAGAGGATCCATCACAACAACATGAAACACTTGAAATGAGTGAAGGTTTGATTGCCACCATCATAAATGGGCATATGTTTAATTTGCAGGAAATAACAATATGATCAGATCAAAAACACAAATTAATGCCCCTAAACATCCATCTGATAATCTTGGAAACTTCATAAGGATTAGGGTTACAAATTTCATTTAAATTTACAATGAGTCAAACACTCAAGCCAAAATTTTGTTTTAAGGACAAGATAATGCATACCTTCCTGGACAAACAATGGACCAGCAGCTGATGGATTTCTTCCTGCTATCCACCCATCACACTGATTATCAGTGTCATATTCTCCTGCAGGC